GTCACTGTCAGCACCACATCACTCAGATATGTCGGCATCACCTAGAGAACTAAAACCACATTCGTCATCAGTGGCAATACCAGGCTCCGAACAAGTATCGGGTGCAGAGCTAGGATCGAAACTGCTGCCATATCAAAGGCCAGCGTCAGAAATAGTTTTACAGCAACCATCTCACGAGCCGATACCACTTCAACCATTGTCATCACAATCAATTCCAAAAGTAGGAACGTCTTACTCGTCAGCGTCAACATCAGATTCAGAATCAATACTAGGTAAAAAATCATCCCAACAACAACCGCTGCGTCAACCATCATGGTCAGAAGCAGCATTGCAATCACCGCTCCATCAATTAGCACCGTTAGGACCACAATCTTTTCCGTCGCAAAACCACCCAGAAGCCACAGAACGTCAAATAAAGCCGTTAGAGCCGTCCCAGGAAAAATCAACGCTTCAATCACCATCATCAGAATCTCATTCACAGTCAGCACCATATCAATCAGTCTCGTCAGTATCATCCGCAGAACTAAGACCACAGTCATCATCAGCGGCAACACCAGGCTCCGAGCAATTATTAAGTAAAGAATTAACTTCGAAACTGCCGCCATATCAAAGGCCAGCATCAGAAACCTCTTTAGAGCAAGAGACGTCGCAACTTCTTCTGCCACAACTGCTTCCAGCATCATCAGCACGTCAAACGACACTATCCCAACCATCCCGCGAGCCGATATCATCTCAACCATCGTTATCAGGATCACCTTCAAAAACAGGAACGTCTCAGTCATCACCGTCAACATCAGATTCAGAATCAACATTAGGTAAACAATCACGCCCACAACAACCGGTGCGCCACCCATCGTTGTCAGAAGCAGCTTTGGATTCATCACTACATCAGTCAGCACCTTTAGGACCACGATCACATCAATCTTTTCCTTCGCAAACGCGCCCAGAATCCACAAAACGTTCAATACTGCTATCAGAGCCATTCCAGGAAACGTCAACACTTCAATCAGAATTGTCAAAACCACAGTCACTGTCAGCACCACATCAGTCTGTCTCGTCAGCATCGTCCGCAGAACTAAGACCACTTTCGTCATCAGCGGCAATACCAGGCTCTGAACAAGTATCGGGTGCAGAGCTAACATCAAAACTGCCGCCATATCAAAGGCCAGCATCAGAAATCGCTTTGGAGCGAGAAACACCGCAGATTCTTCTGACACAACTGCCTCCAGGATCATTAGCACATCAAACGCCATTGTCCCTATCATCTCAAGAGCTGGTAGTACGCGAGGAATCTTCGCCGGAATCATCTCCAAACACAGCAGCATATCAATCATCACCGTCAATGTCAAACTCA